TCAGGAAAGGAATTACGTTAATATGAGTTACGAAGCGTTTTAGAAAATGACAACCAGGCGTCACACAATGCGAATTCTGTAACGAGTGGGTCGTCCAATGCTCCAACCCATTACAAAACCTTGTTTTTGTTCACCTACCAACTGTGGCGCATACCAAGGTGAGGCATAATTCTTCATCATCGTCAGCCATTGCAAAAAAAAAAAGACAGAAATCCTATCAAGTGTGTAGCGTATACCACGCTTCACCGAAATATGACGAAGGATAGCATAGTGAATGCCGGCCTGCTACGCAAAAAACATAATTATTTATAGCGCAGTGGGTACCGAGCAAGTGTTCTCGTAGCAGTTACCCAAAAAGCGTTGAGAAAAGGCTCTGAAAGGCCGCTCTTCCACTTTTCGCTATGACTGTGCTGCATCTTCCGCACAGGTCTGGTGGTTTTTTTTTTCCTTTCCAGTCCAGCAACCCCTCTTAAGCAGTGCAAGTTTTCTTTAATGGGAAATTGAAAACAGACACTTAGTCTGTATTGATACAGACGATGAATGGTGATATTGTGAGCATCGATAAATAAGTCAAAAGTTGTTGTCCAAAAAATACACTTTACAAGTAAACCGAACTAACTTTTTTTGAAATATATAATTCTTGCAAATTAGAAAATAATGTAGTTTTCCCAGACAGTATACAGTACTTTCGACAGAAGCAAGAAAGTGAATTGTATATATTTTATATCAACCAAGTGGACAGAAGGTCTTTGAGGCAACGGACTGCATTGGCATGACTGTATTCGCATGACTGCATTAGCATGAATATCCCAAGACATACTTGCAGAAAATACCACTTTCAGACTCACAAAATTATCAACAATTTCATTGCTGCGATCATTTAAATTTATAACTGCATGTGGAGGGGGGATTGATTATCGGTGTTTTGCTGTGAAAGTAATAGCCTTTGTTTTACTTTCATCATTTTTATGCCATTTTTAACGACAATGCAGATAAATTTTGTAATATGTAAGTACAGATTTATTTATTTTTATTCAATTTGTGTACCCTTAAGACCCGGAGCCTTACAGAGAGGATGGGTGAACAAAAAATTACCCAAAATTGGGTAGTAAATAACACGTCAAAAATAGATAGAACAATGCCATAAAACAATAGACTAAAAATAGCAGTGCATACGATGTAGAAAGGAAATGTTTTGCAATTACTAATATGTAAACCAGGTTACATGACATTAATTCCTGTTTATACATTTATATGACAACAATTACAAGATGTCACGAATTCTAAGTTAAACAATGTTAGCTAGAGCCTTTCGCAAAAGTTCGTTATCAATGCTGGTCATTAGGAAGGTGGTTTCATTGGCGAGATGTTCTAGGGAAAAGGGAATTACTCAAGCCGGTGGTGGTATTTCCTGCTTGAGTTCCGATTTTGAAGCGATTGTCTACACGGCGTGACAAGTAAGTGGCTGTGAAATAAAGTCAATCTGAAGAAATTGATGATAGTATATCTTGTGGAACAGAGTTAAGTGAGCTATTTTTCTCCGTGGTGATAGTGATGGAAGACATAGGTTAGGTTTCACTGAAGATATGCTGGAAGTGCGGTTATAAATCGAATAAATGAATCGAAGATAATTGTTTTGAAGGAGCTCTAAAGAGACGATGAGGTTTTCGTTCTGTGGGTCCCACACTGCTGCAGTGTACTCTAATTTGGGGCACACTAATAACTGATAAAATAGTAATTCTACAGATGATGAAGCGTTAGAAATATTGTGACGTAGGTAGCCAAGCGTGCTGTTAGCTTTACTGATTACGTATTGTAAATAAAGAGACCAGGCTAGATTTGAAGTCATATGAACGCCTAAGTATTTATATGAATTCACAGGATCTAAGGAGACATATTCATATGGTAAAATAGAAGGGTAGTATAATGTCTATGAACACGTAAAGTTTTACAATTTTTAATATTTAGTTGCATTCTCCAGGTAATACACCAACCACCTATATGGTTTAGATTTCATTGATGACGCCTATGACGTCATGTATAAGGTTACCAGAAAAAAAATCCCGTAGTCGTCGGCATATATAATAAACTTCGCACTAGAATTGACACATACGACAACATTCATATAAAAATTTATCTACAGAATGGAGCAAACCCGAAATAGTCGTCTTCGTGTTTCAAATATTTTAACTGCTAGTATAGACGTTTCATTGTAAAGCTAGTCACCTGACAGGAATTGTACTTTTGGCGATGTAGTTGTCTGTCCTGTGCCATTCACACAAAAATGTTTTCATATTTGTTATCTGAAGGCACTGAAGTTCTGAAGTTCAGGTAGAATGACGTTAGTGAGACTGATAGCTGTTGTGAATACCAGAAGCAGAGTTCATTGCCGAATAAAATGCCCTAAATGTCTTCTTTATGCAGTCGCATCATTTATAAGAGTCTGATTTTTTTTTATACGACGTCGCTATACAGTATCTTGAACAATAACATTTATATGCTGCGTTGTGCTCAACGCCGAATCTCTGTAATGAACAGTCTTTGACTGACTTCTGTTAGGCAGGCCCCACGTCACTAAACTCATTCTGCCCCATGACCTTGAGAGTGAACCTCGGAACAGGAGGAAGTGGTTCAAGCATTGTTTGAACAAAATACCACCTAATGTATTCGTTTGAATGATGACCTTTCAATTACACAATTTATCAGTCATTTTTGAAGGCCATTTGGCGTCAAGATTCAAGAACATAAAAGCAGTGAACTCCAAAGTGATTGAAACGTGCACGCCATTTTTTTTTAATACAAGGCGTTTGCCTAATTTATATATTGTGGCACTTGTTGCCGCGGTGCGAATGTCGGACAGCTGTCCTGTTTTTATGGCTCACGAACCTACATACAACAGACCCACGTATATATAACGGGTGTTTCAAGAAATGCACCCTGTATTCTTTAGAAATTACGGGAAGGTGCTATCTGCGTGCTATTTGTGATGTTCCCTTCCTGTGGCAGAAAGGATTTTTAAATGGGTACAAACATTATTTAGGCAGTGTTATATAAATTAACGCAATTTAGTTTTTAACAACTGGTGATAGCCGGTTTACTGAAGTGGGCTAATTCAAGCATTTTCTTCTCAGAGTCCTTAGCCACTTTAAAATTTTCAAAAAGTGACCACTGGTAATCACCACTGAGAGATGCAATCTGGCCAATTAAGCTGGCGAAACCGAAACCGAAGCACCAAACAGCGCATCTACCATTCACTTCGACAACAGCCTTAATGACGACACCGTTTCTCTCCCATTCGGGGAGAATAACGAGCGAGCGTCGATAAGCGGCCTGGAAGCGAAGTGCCTAAATTGACGGTTGATAACGGCGAGAAAACAGTGTCGTCACTGAGGGCGATGTCGAAAAGAGTGATAGATGCACTGTTGGGTGCATCAGTTTCTCCAGCTAAATTGGGCTCACTGCATCGTTCCGCGGTGATTGCCAGTAGCCGCTTTTCGAAATATCAAAATGGCTATGGACTATTCGTAGAAATAGCTTGAATTCGCCAACTTAACACGAGCGGCTATCATCACTGGTTGATTGATTTGTGGGGTTTAACGTCCCAAATCATCATTATTTGATTATGAGAGACGCCGTAGTGGAGGGCCTCCGGAAATTTTGATCACCTGGGGTTCTTTAACGTGCAGCCAAATCTGAGTACACGGGCCTACAACACTTCCGCCTCCATCGGAAATGCAGCCGCCACAGCCGGGATTTGATCCCGCGACCTGCGGGTCAGCAGCCGAGTACCTTAGCCAGTAGACCACCGTGGCGAGGCTATCATCACTGGTTACAAATTTATTGTATATATATATATATATATATATATATATATATATATATATATATGATTGCAGGGTTTTTTCTTGAGATGTTTGTCTTGAAACCAAAGTATTATCCATTTGTCTCAAGTATCGCAGAACTACTTCAATATTTATGCGACGTAAGTGAATAGATTGTACGACCATACGAAATGAAGGTATCCAAAGAAGCGTTCGTAACGTCAAAACTAGGCACGTGTCTTCAGAGAGACGCTGTCACATGTTAATGCAGGTCTAAGACATTGATAGTGTCTCTTGGTGACACCAGTGCACAATTTCCATGCTGTATAACGCGTCTGCGTACAAGGCGGCCTATCCTCCTTTTGTAGTGCAAACCTTTTTTTTTTTTTTGACCTTACGGAAACGAGGTACGAGTCAAAAAGCGGCAATACAGAATTGTTGATAAGTAAAAGTACTCGCACAAATGTGTTTTGACTAGTTGTCCTTGTACCACTACAGTATTTGGAGAAAATGAAACCCGCTGCATACTGTGAACTTGCTTGCTCGTGCCGCACATCTTTATAGTAACAAATTTAACAAGCTTGAACAGTTTTGCAAATCAAAACTGGTCATCATAGGAAGGCCTTCGGTTTGCAGTGACGATGGTCTTATTCATCTAGATCGTACACCATCTAAGCCACGTTGTCATTTCGTCTCGCAAAAAAGATCTTTTGAACACGTGCGCAGCTTTCTTAACTTGTCATGACATTCGTCTAAACATGGCAGTACAGTCATAGTATAGTGGCCATAAATTTGGGTGTATATCATTTCAGCTGTCCTTAAAAGCTATGTGTTATGAGTGCGTAAATTTTCAGCTACCTTTACAATAAATAATCAAAAAACTAATAAGCCATCATAAAGAATAAACGATTGTACACTATATTTTTACTCCCGATAAAAATGTATTACTGTGAGCCCTATGTTTAAGCATTGAAAACGAAAACGCTCAAAACAAACAAGAACGACTTGTTGAAAAGTCATTGAAAATACTTCAATTAGAAAGTAACGAAGCTATCAGTACTAAATAATTATATTATTCACAGATACGACACTGCAGTTGATTGAACCTTTCTGTCTCCTGGGTGAATAAAAGAAGATTTTCCTGTGAATGTCACATAATAGGGTGGTACGTATCCGTAAATGTACTCCGCTCGGGAAACTGATTGTTCTTTTACTTATTGATCATATAGATCCGCGCATTAATTACAGGACGACGTCTCTTCTGAGAACATTCTGTTGTGGTATATTCGTCTGTCATCATGCACAAGACGGCGTTTGTGCTGCTTCTTGTTATTTCAAACATCGCACGCATCCTTTCGGGAGGAAGTAACGGTATGTTTTCCCACATCTTATGGGGATTTTTATCGTAGCATATTCTCGTTCGCAAAATTGGCAATAAAATACTTCGAGAGCCATTTGTGGCAAATCTTTCATAAAAATTCAAGTGCTAATCATTTCAGGTGAAATCCAAGACACCTAAACTGTGACTAGTTGCACTGTAACTATTAGGCAATACAACTGCTTTTTTGCGCTCAAAGCCTGCTGTTTCCTGCAGAGAACGCTAGCCATAGTATATCGATAAAACAAATTGTCAGGGCAAGTACTCAGGTAACAATGACTGAAAATGTTATAGGCATTCATGTCCAGAAAGTAAACGATTAACAGGGACTGTTAAGACGGCGTTTCAGGTTTTCCGAGAATGTTCAAGGACACAAGTGCAAAAAATTTACGGTTTCCTACAAAATTGGTCGCCGCCACACTGATTCAGATTGTCTTTCGCGACTACCACTTCCATCGACGGACTGTGATGCGGACGACTTCGACACCTACATCGCACCCATGGACATGCCATTTTCTGACACCAGTGCCTTCAAGACTGAACAGCAAAGGGACTGCACCATACAGGAGCTCCTTTCTTCCAAGTCAAGATCATCGGCGACTCGCTTCTGTATCCGCGATGGGCTAGTGTAAAAAAAGCACTATGCTACGACCGGCTCACGATATCTTTTCGTGGTTCCGAAGAGTCTTCGCGTTTCCGTCTTGCAGGCTGTACATTATGATCCAACGTCCGGCCATCTAGGCACAGCGAACACTCTTTTCCGGTTTCAAGAAATATTTTACTTGCCAAAAATGTGCCAGACGACGGAACAGCAGGTCTCTAGTTGCAAGAAGTGTCAATGCCGTAAGTGCCCTACCAGTGCTCCTCTAGGGCGACTACATTCTATTCCAGCCCCTAGAACTCCTTTCGAGCAAGTTGGGATTGACCTTCTAGGTTCCTTTCCGAGGTCTTCTAATGGCAATTGCTGGATAGGCGTATGCACCGATCATTTAACACGAAACTGCGAGACAGCTGCTATACTACCGGCAACTGCAGCTGACGTGTGTTTATTCAAGCTGCGTTCTGTGGTTCATCGACATGGATTTCCTAAAATTGTTATCAGTGATCGTGGGCGACGATTCATTGCAGGCATGGTGGAAAAGATACTTCAACTATCCGCTTAAGACTTTGGGCCCTCTACACCATATCATTCCCAAACAAACGGCCTGATGGAACGAACTAACAGTACTCTAACGAACATGCCATATATGTATGTCGCAAAAGACCACAAGTACTGGAACGGCGTGCTACCATTCATCACTTACGCATTTAACACCGCACAGCATGAAACTACCAGCTACAGTCTATTCTTTCTTCTGTATGCTCGGCCACCTTGTCATACCCTCGATACCATCTTCCCGTTTATGGACCCTCCTGATTCCAGTATATCTGAGATCGCCTGCCGTGCAGAAGAATCGCGACGTCTTGCTTACCTGCGCGCTCTCGCTTCGCAAGATCACTCGAAGACACGTTTTAACGGTCAACGTCGACACGGAATGTAAAATCGCAGAGACCACGTGTTGCTGTAGATGCAAACTAGAGAACGTGGGTTGTGTGGCACACTATGCGGGACCTTATGTTGTTAAACCGCATAAGCGGTAAGTTAAACCACGTTAGCGATTTATATATATATATATATATATATATATATATATATATATATATATATATATATCTGTGTATATATATAAATCGCTAACGTGGTTTAACTTACCGCTTATGCGGTTTAACACATGTTGTTGTTAAACCGCATAAGCGGTAAGTTAAACCGCGTTAGCGATATATATATATATATATATGCGATGGTATGTTACATAAGTGTTTTTAAATGTATTTGACAGGATTCTGAAATTTGATTCACTCGCTCATTGCTTTTTCTTGTTTTCATTTTCTTCTGCATATGGGGTTTCAAATGTATGTATTCAGTTAAATCCCACCCGTTTAATACACAATTAGGCCTTGAGGGTATTGGAATAAATACGTGAATAAATAACTAGAACTTGGTAATAATTTAGGTACGAAAGACACTCACACATAATGTGAGTGCCTTCATGTGAGAAAAATATGACAATTGTCACGATTTTCAGTTGGATTTGAAAGTTGATGTTGCTTCTTGCAACATGATTTAGATGTGTCCTCTTAGTTCTTAATATGCACGTTTTTTTTTCTTCTTTCTTCAGGCAAGGAAGTCCACTTTTCCTTTTTTTCTGCGTTTTTCAATTCTCTATGCTAAAAATATTTTAAATAAACTTTTTGTAACCTGCTTACAGATGTTCACAAAGTTGAGACCACAGCAGGCTTCAGTAAGTAACCCTAAAGAAACTTTTTTCCAAGTTTTCGAAAATACAATGGGGACACATATATGTGCATGAAAATTTGGGCAGAACTAGATGTTAGCAGCTGGTATATTGGAGTTACAGAGGCTATAACAAACACGGTAGAGAAATTATTTGGTTATATTCACAATAACTATTCTATTCTGAGAGTAACGCGAACTGAATTGGTAAAGTGTTTAAAAACAGGGTCACTCAAGTGAGGCGATAACCTTGAGCTTATAAAAATAGTAGGCAAAAGTTGTCCTGGTAAGTGGAGATGGCGAAACTAGCATTCAGGGTGACTGAATGAACATAGTTGGCCACATTGTGGCTGTGAAACAAAAAAGAGGGTCTGCACCAACGTTTTAGCAGAACACGGCATCACGAAACATAAGATTGATTGTGAGAACTCAAAAACCTTTACAGCAGATAAAAGAGCAAAATTTCGACTACATGTGGAAGTACTTACTATATAGGGCGCAGTGGGTATACCTTGCTAATGCACTTGCATTAGTAGCCCAAGCAGTTTCCAGCTAGTGCACTTCCAGCTTTAGGTCTTACAGTGCTGCGCAGGTTTTTTTTTTCTTTTTGGATCTACCCTTTCGGCTACACAGCATTCCATCATGCTCCTGACTTCGTTATATGCAACGTTAAGTATGTTGAGGTGATCACTTTGCGGGAATGGCCCCCGTATGAAGTCATTATGCCAGAACTTCAAGCTACAGCGCAGATCTGTTTTAAAAAAACAAACTCAGCGCAGCTTGTGGTAAAATACTCGGCATCCACGTATATGACCCAGGTTCCACTCTCATCTAGTCCTAGAATTTTTTTTTAATTTTATAGTTGGTTGTTTCATTCGTGAGTTACCCATTGCGAAAGATGGTGGATGAGGTGGCGGAGCCAGAACTGGCTGTTTATATCTGACTGCACCTTTCGTTGTAAATTCGGTTTTCATGTGACACTTTGATTAAAAGCCGTGGTGTCATCTCAACGAACGCGCAACCGCAACATAGACTATTGGGACGGCGAGAAGCCTCTGCATGAAAAGTATTCTTGTTTTGCAATGTACAATATACAAGTTCATCAGATACAAAAATAAGTTGGACGTTGTACAATAAAAAGTTGCCGTATTTTTTTTTCAGCCTGTGATGGTGGAACACCCAAGAGATGCCACTACCCAAGTTGTAAGTGAACTTCGGTAAAGCGCCCTACACCCTGACAAAGCTTGTAGACCAGTCAATACCTTAATAATAATATTCTTGTGAATTAACATGTAACCTAATTGCAGCTTGGCAAGACTGCACAAATGAAACTTATCGACACGCTTCTTGCTATTTGCGACAGGAATTACCGGTAGATGCAGATTACCGGTAGATACGCTTAATCAAAATTTAAGAGAAGGGCGCTTTGCGAAAAGTAACATGTCTGACAAGCAACGTGCCGCAATAGTCATGAGGTGCCCATCAATCACTTCAATCGTCAAACAGTTTTTATACCTTAAAACACACAAAAAGGAAAACAATATAACAGCCCCGCCATGGTGGAATAGTGACTAAGGTACTCGGCTGCTGACCCGCTGGTCGTAGAACCAAATCCAGGCTGCCGTGGCTGCATTTTCGATGAAGGTGAAAAAGCTGTAGGCCCAAAAAACCTCAGGTGGTCGAAATTTCTGGAGCCCTCCGCTACGGCGTCTCTCATAATTGTATCGTGGTTTTGGGATGTTAAACCCAAAATATCAACCAAAACATAATCACAACCGAACTATGTGCTTCTTACCACAGGAAGCTTGCGGTAACACGCACAAAGTTCTGAAGAATTTGAAGAATATTTCTGAAAAATTTGAAATCTGAAGAATTTAAAATGATTCCCATAAGACTACACGCCCAATGCAAGCAGACGAGTTAATTTTGCGAATCACGCAAGCCCCAACGACAATGCCGGAATTCGCAAAAATTGAACTAAATAATAGATGCGTTGCGCTATTGATCAGAATACTGACGACCACCGTACGTTCTTGCTCCTTGTAATGATACTTTCGTGTTGGTTCTTCAACTGCGCACAAGTTTGTCATACGGAGAGTTGCAGCTTACTTGCGACCGCGTACTTCGTTCACTTTACAGTCGTTCCAGCTTGCGCTTGGTTTACGGCTTTTCGAGCGCGTGCGGAAAATCAAGACAACTGCCCGTACGCTATATATGTTGTGTGGCTTTGATAGAGAACGAAGCAAACATAAAAGACCGTTTTTTTTTTCGCTTCCTTGGTCATTTTGTGAACTTCCTATATATTGAAACAATCACAAAGCGACATTTTGCATGCGACCATGCATTAACATGAAAGTGGAAATTCCACAGACAAATGGGCCAATAATCCGTCAACGTTATTCTGTTTTAATTTATATCTAAAACATTATTTACAATAAAAACACAACGAATGTTCTGTAGTATGCTTTTTTGTTCTACATTATCTGATGACCCGAAGGTCGCGGCATCAAACCTTGGCCATGATGGACGCATTTTGAAAGGGTTGAAAATTATTTATTTTTAGTACTTAGGGCTAGTACGCGTTCAGGAACCCCGGGTGGCCGAAATTGGTGAAGCCGTACACTACGGCGTTTTTAATTACAATACCATGGTTTCGAGACGTTAAACACATGGATTATTATGCATTAGGCGTGAAGTCATGAATGATTTTCACAGTTTTACTCCTAGCTGAACATTACGAACAGTATGCGTTAATGAGGGACAACAGGTGCAAATAACAGTGCTGGCTGACTTCTTGAAGCCGGACCTTTTCAGCCCCACTAAAAATTAATTTATCGCATCGAAGTCAATAGGAACTGTGCACTAAGAATCCATCTCTTTATTGGGCGAAATATTTTCTCACAAACGCGAGGAGTTCTCAAATAATCAATAACGTAGCAAGCATGGTATTATTTCTCGAACTCAATCTCACGTCTGAGGTCCATTCACTTTTCAAACTGGAAACAAAATATGGTATTCAACTACTGTTCTAATTCACTATCATCAAAGTACGTACCCCAGAAATCGCGCGACACTAACATTATTTCCAAACAGCACTTTACGAAATGGTATATTCAGGGGTGCTACGCGGGATGACCTGAGCCTCTCGGAAGCCCGGCATTCCTCCAAGTTGGCACTGCCACGCCACAAACGCATATGCGTCGTTTACGTCAGTTTTCAAAGGAACGCAATGAGCGAATATGTAAACGCCTCCCACAGTAATCTTACGCCGTAACAAAAAAGAACTACATTAGTTATATTAACACGCAAGTGGTTTTTCTACGTTAATTCCCTCTTCTTAATTTTGTGTTCACCTAGTGCAGATTTATATCATTTTGATGTGTTTTTACCTGGGTCTATTCATTGTATTTTGCAATAACTGTATAGTTGGAGGTTAATGCTTGTCTTCATTGTTCCTTTCTTCCGCTGTCTGCCTACTTTGCGCTTCAGTTGTAAAAATATGAAATATCAAGTAGTAGCCCTTTTTCCCACCGTGCTTCTGTGGTAGAATACTTGACTGCCAGGCAGAATGCTGGTGCTCGATTCCTGCTGATACCCTAACATTTACTCTTTGCATTTGTCAGGTCAACGCTTTCCATGTCAGCCTCTTCCTATCGGTCAAGCAATAAAATTACCCTTGTCTATTATCGCAGTTCTTCGGTAGATATAAACTGTCAATCACTTTTGGCACATGCCCGAAAAGCTGTGGAACATAGATGCCTGTGGGTATGTGCCACATTTTCACTGTAAATGCTTTGACGACGTATGAGGTCTGTTAGAAAAGCATCTGACATTTGGTGGAACAAAAAAACTAGCATAATTGGAGTGTTGGAAACGTAATCCGTCTCAAAGTAGTCCCCTCGGGACTCTACACATTTTCTTCCAGCAGTACTGCCATTGTTGGAAGCATTCTGAAAAGGCCTCTTTCGGAATGAAGTTCAAATAAGCTGAAGTGGCAGTCCTAATGTCCTCCCTTGTCTGAAGTTGCCCTCTCATGTTTTCGGAAACCCTCTCAAGTCGCAGGGGGCAATATCAGGAAAGTAAGAAGCCAGTGGAACTACAGAAGTGATTTTCGCCAAAAAAGTCAGAACCATGTGAGATGAATGTGCAGGAGAAATGTCGAGATGGATGTACCAGTTCATGCTGACTATAACTCAGGTCTCTTGCGCCGCCCAGCTATACGTAGGTTGCGGAGCAAATACCTTCAGTACTCTTAGGTGATTGTTTGACCCTGTGGTGCATACTTGTGGTGTACTACACCGCGGAAGTGACAGAATCTACTCATCATCCCTTTAACGTTGCTGTGCCCTTTGTGGGCCTTCTTTGGTCTTGGTGATATAAAATGCTTCCACTGTGAGACGACTGGGCTTTTGTTTCCGAGTCTTATCCATACACCCAAGACTCGTTACCCGTGATAATTGTGTTCATGAAGTTGGGTCACTGCTTGTGAAATACAGTATGTCCTCTGAGACATACACACAAAATTGCTTTTGCTGTACCGTGGGCAGTTTCAGCATTACTTTCGCCGCACCTCTCTTCATAGTCAAATCTTAGGTCACAGAGGAATGTGCACAGAAAGTGCTGATGCCCACTTCTTTCGCAATTTCCAGGATACTCGCACGACGGTCCCGCATCACCACGGCGTTCATTTATTATTCACTCCTTATTCTGTAAGTGGCTCATAGCGTAGTCACTGAAAGCCGTCTTGATCTTCCGAACAATTACCACTTGGCTGTCACGCCATTTATGGCAAATTTTGATTCCATAGCGCCGATGCAGTCTCTCCATCATTTTCCCTGCAATAGAAAACCGACAGAGCACTGCGCTGTATACTTCCCCCAAACACTGCATCCCAGCGACTGACACTATTCGCAGGCGGGGAAATATTCACGCCTGCGCACGAAGGTTCAAGGTCAGCTGATTGTTTCAAATCCATCAGGTGCTTCAAAAAATAAGGTTGGACACTTTTGCAAGATCGATTGATTGATATGTGGGGTTTAACGTCCCAGAACCACCATATGATTATAAGAGACGCCGTAGTGGAGGGCTCCGGAAATTTCGACCACCTAGGGTTCTTTAACGTGCACCCAGATCTGAGCACACGGACCTACAATACTTCTGTATGAGACCTTGTTTGCCACAGGATGGTAGATTAATAATGTCATGACGAGTGAGTCAAATTCATCAAGCCATCTTACCCTCCCAGACTAATTTTAAATGCGAAGCATTGCTTAAAGAACTTCAGCGACTTTAAGCGTATCTATCTATCCATCTATCCATCTATCCATCTATCCGTCTATCCGTCTGTCTGTCTATCTATCTATCTATCTATCTATCTATCTATCTATCTATCTATCTATCTATCTATCTATCTATCTATCTATCTATCTATCTAGCCACCTACAACTTTTAGCTCTCCTGGCCGTTTCGATAATGGTATTATTACCAAACTTGGTATGGCATAACATGACTATATGAAGAACATATCTGACGTTATAATATGAAAATCATGACATGAATGTCATGAAAGTTATGATTTACATTTTATGGCACTGCGGCTCTTGCGGTGGTTTCGTTCACACGACAAGACAGGACAGACAGACAGACAGACAGACAGGACAGACAGACAGACAGACAGACAGACAGACAGACAGACAGACAGACAGACAGACAGACAGACAGACAGACAGACAGACAGACAGACAGACAGACAGACACGACAGACAGACGACAGACAGACAGACAGACAGACAGACAGACAGACAGACAGACAGACAGACAGACAGACTAGATAGATAGATAGATAGATAGATAGATAGATAGATAGATAGATAGATAGATAGATAGATAGATAGATAGATAGATAGATAGATAGATAGATAGATAGATAGATAGATAGATAGATAGATAGATAGATAGATAGATAGATAGATAGATAGATAGATAGATAGATAGATAGATAGATAGATAGATAGACAGACAGACAGACAGACAGACAGACAGACAGACAGACAGACAGACAGACAGACAGACAGACAGACAGACAGACAGACAGACAGACAGACAGATAGATAGATAGATAGATAGATAGATAGATAGATAGATAGATAGATAGATAGATAGATAGATAGATAGATAGATAGATAGATAGATAGATAGATAGATAGATAGATAGATAGATAGATAGATAGATAGATAGATAGATAGATAGATAGATAGATAGATAGATAGATAGATAGATAGATAGATAGATAGATAGATAGATAGATAGATAGATAGATAGACAGACAGACAGACAGACTCGAAGTCGCCGAAGTTCGCTAAAAATGCTTCGCATTTAAAAACGAATTGCGGCAAGAAAAAAAATTCCTGTACAGCGTGAGAAGCTTATGGAGAGCATAGTTTTGCTCGAAGGTATATTCATATCTGGGTGTGTTTTTTCTTGTAAAATTGAAGTTCGTGGGAGAACACACGTAACTATTGTTGTGCTCTACCGTATAGAATGAACCAGGTATTTTCTTAAATAATGCCCTCCTTTTATTTTCTGAAAGCAACGAGGCTGTGACTGATGCCGCTGTTGAGGTTTTCTGAGCCCGTTGAGGTTTTCATTGTCGCTTTTGACTTTAACATAGACACTTAGGAGGAGAAGGGGAATGAAAACAGTATGGAGCTGTCAATATTTTAAATTATGCAACCAAAGGAAAGCGACGAGTATAGCTTGTTTTGATACCAGAAATAATTTTGTTTCTTAAGGGCTAAAGACAAAAGCGTAGTTTCTGTGCGGCCAAACAACATAGTAGTCTCGGTGTTCTGTAACTGGGTGACCATCAACTGAAAAGAAGATAGCAAATGTCATTGGAAACTCCCTTCAGTGGCTGTAATGATGGTATGAAAAGGACTGTGCTCTACGACCACTCTGCAAATGCCTCCCGATAATTAATCCTTGAGAAAAAGCGATGCAGGCCCACATGTACCCAGACGATAGAAATGGCCAGAGACAACGCATGCCGTGTCTGCAACAGCACTGTATGTTTCAACAGATCTCCCACGAGATGACTATTTTCATTCAGTCACATAGCAACAAGACACTCACTTGGCGCTGTTGTATTTAACAGAAGTGTCAAGAAATCTAGACTGAGTTCGCCATTACAGTCTATTTATACCAACATTTTCACAAAGCTTGAAAACTGTGAAGGTATGCCACAGTATGTTGAAATAGCGTTGCAAGAAGCGTGAGGTTATAATTTCCATAAAGCACTGGGGTTTTAAGAAGGTGTATAGGCCAAGATGACTTTAATATTCGTTTCACAAGGCCATAACGTACTCTCCTTGCTTCCATGAGCTTTCCATACTATGTCGAGGGATCAGCGTATCATAACTTTGGCAAAAGCAATTTATTATAATTCGCACTTGTTGCTTTCTGTTTAATTTAACTAAATGGGCAGGGTCTCAATAAAATCCAACCCAAACTTTTTCGTGGTCCTAAAGGGTTGATAAATGCACACTTAACTCCGACAAAAGACGCAAGGCTTTGATGATGACGAAAGTATTTAGCACACTCCTAACGAATATAATCAAAATCAGTGCAATACTTGTTATAGAGATTCTTATTAGCATCGTATAAATTATCCTGCTCCTAATTGACGTCACCAAACGTCAATGGTAATCAGTTTCACTACTTTATAAGCACTCTAACTTAAGCAGAAATATACAGTGACGTCATTTGCATTAAGCACAATTATATATGCTTTTAACATGGTCTTGTGAAGGAAGCAACATCAAGTTTCGCTGCCTTTGCATTTGCAGCGTGTAATTGTTCGAAACAAGAACTGGAAGAAGGAGACACAAGCTCAACGGGAAGATGGTACTTTGATAGCGACAAGAAAACGTGTAATGTCTCCACAAAATCATTGGATGGCTGCAACAAGTTCGACACAAAAGGCAATTGCAAGTGGTATTGTCTCAGAGTCCTTGAATAAAAGAAAGCCAAATGTAATGGTCAGTGAAAATTCACCAATGTAAATTGTGCTCACAGTTTGATATTCAAATGTTGAGGCAGAAATTAACAGTGAGCGAATACTTAAAACTTCGACGTCAAATGTTAACTGTGTTGCTTTAAAAAGGTGCAGTAATACAACTAGTCTATTGAATTGTTCGCGTAAAGCTTATGACCTTATCGCTCACTGTTGTTAACAAGCCAGTGCAAGTTTAGTGCGAACATTTTCCTTTATATTTATATAGATATCTTCAATATAGCATTGTGAATTATGAGACGGCATCAATAATGTGATCTTCATACACTGTGGAAGATAAGAAATGCTTTGAGTGCAGTTTAAATAGTGCGCATGTCACAAAGAGTGGTATAAATCAGACGTAGCAGAATTGTAACAAAAATAATTCAGCAAAAGAACTAGTCGTACTCAGTTAGACTGAACAACTTTTAGGGTGCGCAATTCTACACCTATTCACGTTTGCCATGTCCCCTTAATTGGATTCCTTTTTCATTCAAGCAAATGCGGACGTTCAAGTTTCCACAAAATGTGTTCATTTTGGTAAAGTCAGGGCCTTTCCTGATTCCAATAGTTGAACACAGCTGTATAACTAAATAAGGAGCTTTTCAGGTTTTCTACGTGAAAGCACTTTTACTTTTATTTTTCTCATGGGCTCACAGTTTGATGTTCAAGAAATAAGCCTTCGGCGGGCAGCGCACACGTATAAACAATATAAGTTTATAAACATAACGAATCTTGTTTGTAACAACTAGTTTGCAAATGTTCAATATAAGGTTTGATTTTTTCGCGCAGTATACTAGTATTTCTGCGTGACTGTCACTGAAATGTAATTTGATCAATGGCAGGAAAGTAAAGTTTAAATATTGTCGTGATTCATTCAGCACAATATTGCATATTCAGACCACGCTTGACGCTCCACAACAACAAAAAAATCACACTTTGCGCTTGCGTGTCAGTGGACTGTCGATGTGCGTAAGCTACGAATCATATACTGTATGACCTGTGCTCTGAATGGCACAACTGAATAGGTGCTCATTCGACAAGTCAATAAAAGTTACTCCACATATAATATAGTGCCCTGAAATGTAGAAGCATTCCACAAACTATGCAATAAAACCACAATATAATAATCCAAGGAACGTATATGGGACGTAAGTGTGCTAGGTTGTGTTGATAGGTGATTTTAATGCACATCATCCTCTCTGGGGTAGCACTATAACAAATCATCGCGGAAAGGATTTAGCCAATTTTATATACAACTATGGACTAAGCGTACTCAACGACGGATCACCTACATTTGTTCGTGGCACGTCTTACAGCAGCTGCCTCGAACTCTGTTTCGTTTCCAGAAGCCTTCTGTCTTCCACATGTTGGTGCACAGATTTGGACACTCGCGGCAGTGACCACCTTCCAACCTATGTTCAGTTCAGGTGGTTTCGCCGCACGCACACACGCTACGTCCGTCAAACCAACTGGACACTGTTCAAGGCATCTGTCAAGTCTGGCTGTGAGCACACGACTGATCCATTCGAGGTAGAGAACATCATTGCTTCTTCACTGCGTGACACAACCAAACAGGTTAACCTGCCGATGCAGAGATAACCAGTTGACTCCCAATACGAGGCCCTTCGTGCAATCCGTCACCGTGCCGAACGCCGATACAGACGAACGAAGTCGTCTTCAGACCTTTCCGCCTGTCATCGAGCTCATCGACATGTTCTTCAGCATCTTGACAAGATTTACAGGCAACGTTGGCGAACTTTCTGTGAATCTCTGGACCCCAGGCAACCTCTATCTAAGATCAGACGGGTGGTACGAAGTTTGCAGACAACTCCCCAACAACGTCAACCATTTCAAGCTGTTGCTCTACATAAAGGACGGACAGAAGTTGAGATAGCCAGTGACTACTGTAGCCTCATCGTGGACACCACTGATGGTGTAGCCACTAATGAACCTCTTACTACCATTGCGCCTCCACCGTCTGACGAGCGCCTTGATGTACGTTTTACAATACATGAGCTTGACGCTGCGATTTCTGCCTCCCGCCGATCATCGGCACCAGGACCTGACGGAATCACGTATGCTGCACTCAATCATCTTGATACAGAAGCACGACGTATCCTGTTATCTCAATATAACACCTCATGGGAGTCAGGAGAAGTCCCAGCTAATTGGCAATGTAGTCGCATTATTGCATTGCTTAAGCCGGAAAAGTGTCCTTATGCACTTTCCTCCTACAGACCAATCGCGTTAGCCAGCTGCGTCGGAAAAGTGATGGAAAGAATGGTACTGGCACGATTAGAGTGGCTTCTATAGAGCAACAACTCCTTTCCTGCATTTATGAACGCCTTCAGAAGAGGCTGATCTGCCATTGATGGTGTGGTCGACTTGATCACCAGCGTTTAAGAGGAAAGAAGCCGACGCAGACTAGTGGCGGCGGTCTTCTTAGACAATAAGGGTGCCTACGATAATGTGCTGCATTATGCGATCCTTGACGCACTGGAATATTTCGACATCGGTGGACGACTGTACGCTTGGATTTTTAGCTACCTTGGGGACCATGACTACTACTACCATGACGACAAGTAACGGAGACACCGATCAATATAAGGTTCATCGTGGTGTTCCCCAAGGAGGAGTTCTCAGCCCGATTTTATTCAATGTCACAATGATCGGCCTAGCAGCAGAACTTCCCACCACGGTGAAGATCACTGCATACGCTGATGACATATGCATATGGGCATCCGGAACTACTCGTCTGCAATTGCGAGCTCGACTACAGCGTGCAGTGACGATCACATACAAATTTCTACGACGTCAGGGGCTCACTCTTTCAATCTACAAATGCGCAGTGCTTGCGTTCACGCGCAAGCATATGTCGCAATACTCGATATTTATTAATGGGACAGCGATACCTGCTGTAACGCACCACAAGTTCCTTGGGGTTGTCGTACACAGAGATCTATCGTGGACGAGGCATGTCGCAGTACTTAAATCTAAATTGAAGAGCTTTGCTCCCATTCTTCGCCACGTAGCAGGAGCAAGATGGGGCCCATCAGAATCATCGCTACTTATTTATTTATTTTTATTTATTTATTTATTTATTTATTTCAACATTCGGGATGCTGAGGGCCGTGGTCAAAAAGCCTCTAATGGGCTTGACTGGACCACGACCCCTTACGAATGGGCAGCATAGGCAACACTTTTATTGCAGTGACAATGTACAAAAATTTGAGCAAGCATAAAGCATCAAGTATAATAAGCATAAGCATAATAAAGCATAAGCATAATAAAGCATGAAGATTGAAAAGTAATAAACTTAAAGAAATGACCGTAATTATTTCCTTACACATACGATATCAATAAGAGAGTGTAACGATGCAAGAAAAGAAGATCGCAAGATTAGCACCAAAGTAAAAAAAAAATATGGGGCATGTGCCCATACGCTTACTACACTTACAATCAGAACAGTTACTCAAATGGAAGACGATATGGCATTCAAGTGAAACGGCAGGAGGAAGCGCAGCATTTCTTTGCCGTAGTTAGTGCGCGTGCGCGGGATAAGCCATGTGTGATTGAAACGCGTGTTATAAAGAACTTTGCGGTGGTTTAGGTTGGCAATGGTTCCTAAAAGGTTGTCGCCTTTTAATCCTGCCTGGTAGCGTTTCACAAGCATTGCGCGGTAGTATTCAGGTAGAGGTAGCAGCTTCATGTCGTGAAATATGGGAGTGGTGTGACTGTGATATGGAGCATTTGCAACGACACGAACAGCCCTTTTCTGTATGACGTGCAGTTTGCGGATATTTGTTAGAGTTGTCGTACCCCAAACCAGATGACAGTAGTTGACGTGAGATAAAAACAGGGATTTATAGATGAGAAGTTTAACTGCCTTAGGTAGCGAGAAACGCACCCGGGATAATATGCCCGAAATCCTTGATATAGTGCCACATAGTTTTTCAGTGTGTGCGTTCCAAGACATGTGTTGATCGAAAATTATTCCCAGACACTTAATACGCTGTACTATCTCAAGTTCTGAACTGCCAAGTTTTAATGGGACACGACAAGGGGTTTGTTTATTTTTCGGCCTGAAATATACAGCTTTTGTTTTTGATGTGTTAAGTTTTAAACAGCTAACGCATGTCCACGTGGCCAACTTCGCCAGTACCTCATTTGCGTCATTAATTAAGTTTGTATAATTTTCAGCAGTAAGAAGCAAGGTTGTATCATCAGCGTATATAATACATTTTACAGGCGTGTCAATTTTTACAATATCATTTATGTATATACAAAAAAGCAGAGGCCCTAATATGCTACCTTGTGGTACACCCGCTGAAATTTTTAGTAAATTGGAGGTACAATTGCCGACGACTACTTCCTGCTGCCGATACATTAGGTATGATTCAATGAGTTGTAAGAAAACACCTCGAAATCAATAGTGTGCACATTTCTTTAGCAGCGTAATGTGATTTATTGTGTCGAACGCCTTTGAATAGTCTACGAAGATGCCTAAAGTGTGTAGTTCGCGTTCAAAAGCATTTAGTATAAATTCTTTCTGTTCTAAAAGAGCATGTTCAGTCGTACGGCCTTTGATAAAACCAAACTGCGAAGGAGTGATGATGTGGTGCTTATCTAGGAAAGAAACCATACGCTTTTGAATTAGTTTTTCCAGACCTTTTGAAATTACTGGAAGTATAGATATCGGTCGGTAATTGTTTAGTGCATTTTTATCTCCTCCTTTGTACAGCACAACCACTTTTGCAACTTGTCACTTTTGTGGGAAAATTCCGGTGGAAAAAGCAAGATTAAAGATATGCTCTAATAATTCAGCAATGATATCTAATACGTGTTTGATGGGCTTAATCTGTATGTCATATGCGTCACAACACGTGCTGTTTTTCACAGACGAAAAAGCATGTGAAAGTTCACCAGCTGTTGTTGGCGCCAAAAACGCGCTCTCAGAGATACTGTCAGACAAATATGTGGTACAAGCTGAATTGTACTG